CTGGAGTCCCGGGATCGAGTCCCACATCGGGCTCCCTGCTCGGCGGGGAGTCTGCTTCTCCTTCTAACCCTACCCCCTCTTGCGCTCTCTCTCTCTCTCTCAAATAAATAAATAAATAAAATCTTTAAAAAAAAAAAAAGTTTAAAGGACCAGAAAGTTAACGTTGTAGATTTTACCAATCATGAAATCTGTTGTAACTACTCAACTCTTGCCATTATGGCACAAAAGCAGCCACAGGTAATATGTAAACAAATGGTCTGACTTACTAAGTTTTAGAGCATTGCTTTCTTTCCCCTTTTTTTTTAAACTTAGTATAGGAAATTTCAGATATATATAAAAGTGGAGAAAATAGTATAATCAATCACTGAGAATCCCATCAGCCAGTTTTAACAGTTTGTAGAGCATGGCTGGTCTTGCTTCATCCATATTCCCACCCATTTCTCCATGCCCCCAGTTATTTTGAAGCAAATTTGAAACTTAATTTTATCTGTAAATAAACTAGTTTTAGTAGCTTTGAAAGAGGGATTTTTTAAAAATCATAGCTATAATATCACATTTTCCTGATTCTTATTTTTTTGTCTTTTTTCTTTGTTTATATCTGTAGTTTCATCCTTTACTTATTTTTTCTTTTGAAAATATGTTGTTGAAATAACTAAGTTATTTGTTTTACAGAGTTTCTCATTTTCTAGTTATATTTTTTATTGTGTTTAAATACACATATATAAAACTTACCATCTTTTAAGTATATAATGCAGTTGTACTAAACACATTCACCACCATCCATTCACGTTAACTTTCTTCATCTTATAAAACTGAAATTCTGTACCTATTAAACAATAACTCCCCATTCTCCCCTCCTTCTAGCCCCTGACAACCACCATTATTCTTCCTAGTCTATGATTTTTGACTACTCTCATTACTTCATATAAATGAAATCATACAGTATTTGTTTCTTTGTGACTGGTTTATGTCACTTAACAATGTCTTCAAGGTTTATCCATGTAGCATATTGCAGAATTTCCTTCCTTATATATCATCTTTGGAGAAATGTCTATTCAGGTCCTTTGCCCAGTTTTGAATTGGCTAATTATATTTTTTAGTGTAGTTTAGCATGATCCTCTGTCTCCTGTACTTCATGCAAATTGGTAGCTAGATTTAGAGGCTTGATCAAAATTTGGTTTGATTTGGGAGCAGCAGAGAGAGAACAAAAAGCCTGTATGTTTTTGTGTCTGTCTCTCTTTTATGCTAGGTGCTACTGATCATTGACTAAATCTATTAATTAAAGGCTGCAAAGAGGTGCTATTTTCAGGCTTTCTTTTTTTCCATTTATTAGTTGAAGGGCTTCTATAAAGGGAAGCTTGCCATCATCTTTATTACCCTGAGGTACAGCTCATATATGGAATGCATGATAAATGCTTGGTTCTAGCTTTTATTACCAGTTTTTGAAAATAATGTGTTGGTTCCCTAGGAACCTTCAAAAATGACCATTTCAGTATTTTTTGTTGTTGGGTATTTAAACATATTGGTGTGTTTGTTGTCCTTATTAATGCATTGTGGGCTCTTTTGAGTTAACTTACGAGGCCTTTTGTCACAGCCTTAGTAATTTTCAGTGGTTTGCTTGCTCCATCGTGTGATAAGATGTTCCAGTGTTTTGTACATTTTGTGTCAGAGGCCTGGGGTCAGTCAAGTCTCTAGAATTCCCACTTTGCTTTTTATGGGGAGGTGATATTTTGCAGCCCACTGGCTAGGCACAGGAGTTCTTGTGTGTGGTCATTGTTTAAAAGCCATTCATTGGTCAGAGCTATGAAATAGGTGTGTGTTTGTTTGTTTTTAACAAAAATATATCATGAGTTTATACTGAGGCTTCCAATTTAAATTCAGGCTACATGCTTTTCACTTCTTTGATCTCACATCTGTGTCTTTCTCTCATGTGAAAATCTCAGATCTCAGTGACCCCAGTATAATTACTGATTTGCTGTATCCCATAATCACATGCAAAAGTATCAGAATAACAATACCAATAGGAATATAACTCTGGAAACAAACTAAGAAATTTTTTGCTATACTTTGCCTTGTAGTTTATTCCTAAGGAACATTCATAACAGTTGATTTTATTATGGCTCAAAATCACTTAGGATTTCTCTGTTACATTACTAATATAACACAGATGCACATTTAGGTTAATTTTGCTTTTAACTTTTACAATTGATTTTTTAAATTTTATTTTCAATATGTGTATGGTTTAAAAGTAAAACAGTATATGAGGGGCGCCTAGGTGGCTCAGTTGGTTAAGCATTTGCCTTCGGATCAGGTCGTGATCCCAGAGTCCTGGGATCTAGCCCCAGGTTGGGCTCCCTGCTCCACAGGAAGCCTGCTTCTCCCTCTCCCACTCCCCCTGCTTGTGTTCCCACACTCACTGTGTCTCTGTCTGTCAAATAAATAAATAAAATCTTTGAAAAAAAATACAACAGTATATTAAATACATACACATATATATGTGTGAATGCAAGTATATCTTATATCGTTATCTGACTTAGCTAAACAGTAGCTTACTTATACCTATTCTTATCCTCCTTGCTTTACCTCTTTTTTTTTTAAACAATAATGTATTCTGGAAATCACTCCATAGTAGTACTTAGAGCAGTTCCTCAGTTTACATCTGCATGATACTCAATTGTGTGGATGTAATATAGTGTGTTCAACCATTGATGGACTGTTCAGTGTGTGTGTGTGTGTGTGTGTGTGTGTCTGTGTGTTGTGGATAGCTTTTTCCCCCTTCCTATTATAGTTAGTGTCAGTGAACAGCCACGTGCATCCTTTTTTTAAAACTTCTTTTTGTTCAGTGTGTATTTGGAAAAGATTCCTTGAAGTGGGATTGATGAGAATGTGATAAATGCATATATGATTTTTGGAAGATATTGCTAAGTTTTTGTTTATAAGGGTTGTGCTGTTTTACATTCCCATCATCAGTGTATTTTGCCACAACCTTATCAACAAAGTATGTTGTCAAATTTTGGGATTTTTTTGCCAATCCTGTAAGTGAGAAATGTTAATTCCATTTTTAATCTCATTTCTCCTATAAGCAAGGTTTAGCATCTTTTCACGTTTAAGAGCCATTTGCCTTTCTTTTCTCTGTGAACTCTGTTCATTTCTCTAACACATTTTTTTATCTTTTTTTTTTTAGCATTTGTATATTAGGAATATTTGCTCCCTTGTCTGTGATAAGTTGCAGTTAGTTTTACTATTTTGACTTTTGTGGTTTTACTTTGTTCATTGTTGTATTAGCCATGCAGAAGTTTTAAAATAATTTAAAGCTATCAGTCATTTCCTTTTGCTCTACTGACTGTATAGTAGGCAGAAATAACATAGTCATGTAAAATATGTTTAAAATGTAAATTAAATATATTTGTGAAGATACACAGTCCTTCATTATAATTTGTTCCTCTTTCTTCTAGGCAAGGATAAAAGCCATCAATACATTTTTTGCTAAGAATGGTTATCGATTAATGGATTCTAGTATGTATAGTCAGCCCATTCAAACTCAAGCACAGTATGCCTCACCAGTTTTTATGCAGCCTGTATATAATCCTCACCAACAGTACTCGGTCTATAGTATTGTGCCTCAGTCTTGGTCACCAAATCCTGCACCTTACTTTGAAACACCACTGGTAAGTGAGATCCTTACAGAATTATAAAATTTTTCACTCAAGCTGAAATTTGAAGAAATCAGCTAGAGTAGTTTATTTCTTTATTTTGTTTTGTGTTGATACTGGTTTCTTTCGGGCTTTTAAGTAGTGATAAAGATACCTAATCCCCATGTGACTAAGAGTTGAGCTATTGGTTCCTATAATTTTATTCTTTAGATTTTGCTGAATGAATTAAAATAAGAGAGTGGGTAAGTCCTGATTAGTTTAAAATGTTTTCAGTTCAACTTTTTCAGAGAGAAATGTACTTTATTAAGTAATGACCTAATGATTCCTTCTGTAAATCAAGTGATATTTGAAGTGAGTATTACAAAAGTAAGTAAAATGCTTAAAATTATTTTTGCCTTATAAAAGAAATTGAGGGGGATCCTGAGTGGAGCATGCGACTCTTGAGCTTGGGGTCGTGAGTTCAAGCCTCATGTTGAGTGTAGAGATTACTTAAAAATAAAAAATCTTTAAAAAAATTTGATACTAGGTTAGTTCATCAGGAGTTTCTTACAGCCTTCACACTAGGTTTTGCCCTTTTCATTAATTGTTTTTAAACATCACATTTTCTTTTAGGCTCCCTTTCCCAATGGTAGTTTTGTGAATGGCTTTAATGCACCAGGATCTTATAAAACAAATGCTGCTGCTGTGAATATGCCTCGACCATTCCAAAAAAATCGGTAAGATAACAATCATAGTGGAATAGGGGTGCCAGGATGGCTCAGTCAGTTAAGCATCCACCTCTTGATTTCGGCTCAGGTCTTGATCCTCGGGTCATGAATTCAAGCCCAGGCATTGTGCTCCATGCCCAGCATGGAGCCTACATAAAAACAAAAACAAAAAACAAAACAGTGGAATTTATTGTACACAATTCCTAGTAGTTCTTGAAGAATTACTGTGGTAGTCACAATGCTTATTTATAAATCTTAGTAAAAAGCTTAAGTCATTTACTCTAGAATTAATAAGCACACTTTGACCTCATAGTGGATAATTTGTATAAAAAAGATTTAGAACTAAGATTGTACATACTGACTTTTTAATAGTAAAGATAATAGAAAATTATTTTATGATAGTAACATAAGATCTGGTGTTTAAATACCATTTAGTGTGTTAAATAGGTAACATTTTAGAGAATGAGAGTTTTTTTGAGGATAGAAATGTTAGCTGGTTTGAGTATTGAATGCTGGAAAAATGAGTTGCTTAGGATTTTTGAAAATTGACTTTTGAAATGATTTCCGTGAACTATAGTGTTTAGACAGTAGCTACCATTTATTGAACATTAATGTCCAAAGCTTTGTTTTAAGGGCTTTACATATTTTATCAGTTTTCATAACCCTATAAGATAGTTATATCTATTTAAGATGAGGAAATTGAAACATAAAAGGTTAAATATCGTGTCTAAGAGCATGTAGCTAGTAACTGGGAGAGCCAGAATTTGAGCCCAGTTTGACTTCAAAGCCTATACTTAAAAAACGGTGTTCTAAATAAATTATTGAGAACTCTGGAAACTATTTGCTATCATATAAAAAGGTAAGTCTCTTAAGTGTTACTCTTTTTATGTAAACATCAATTGATAATCTCAATAATTTGGTATATATTATGGCTTTTGAAAGTATGAGTATCCAAAGAAAAAAGGGCTTATATAGTGGCTTAGATTTATTTAAGAGTTTCACATTTATTGTTTTTTGTTTGCTTATTTTGTGAGTCTCCTAGGTTCGGGTTTTTGGCTTTTTAAATGATTTCTTCAGTGATTTTCCCTTGCCATAGTTCATTCTCCCAGTTGGTTCTTTTTGGCAAGAAGACCACATGGGGTATGTTCTTCTAAAATGACTTCTAGGAACTTAATTCTTTTTTGTAAGGTTTACCTGAAACATGCTTCACTGGAGAAAGAAGCCTCATGGTATTAAATATTCTTCTCAGTGGATTCTGGAAGCATTCATGTGTACCATCCTCTGTTGTCACAATTTTTTGTACTTATTTAACTGACAAAATTGGTTAAAGCATTTGAAGATCATTTTTAAGTGTTACAAACATTTTACTACATATACATTCTTACTGCTTTATGAAGTTTCAAATGTGATCTCTTCATATTACAAGGATGAAGGATTCTTCATAAATGAAAGGATTATTTTGCTCTTGTAGATGATTCTTAGTTTGGTAATAAAGTAGCAACTGCACAATTCAGGTATTGCTAGGACATATGAGTAGAAGTTACAGGGAGCCTCACACATTGTCCTTTAATCCCAGTCCTGTTGTTCAAAAAGATTAATTTCCATGAGCACATAGAATGGTGTTTAAATCTGGAAAGACCTTTATTATGGTGTAGTTTTAACTCATTTTACAGCTGAAGAAAGTGAAAGCCGAAGAGGACAAAAGTCTTGCTAGGGTTACATGGCTAGTTATTATCAGCAGACTTGAGATTAGAACGTTTCCTTTCCTCTACCATAGCTGGTGAAGTTTTCTCTTAAAAATAATTTAATTAGAGTAAATGACAGCTTGCATTTCCCTTGTTAGAAAATACAGATTTCCCTGATTAGAAATAGTAGCTTTGTAGAAATATGTATAATACGTATTGATTTCACCGTTTTTTTTTTTTTAAAGAGTGAATTTTGCTTTAAACAGTTAAGTAGAATATACATCTTTCTTATAAGGTAGACTAAAAGCAGTTTTTAATAAGTAAAAGTACTGGTGGTTTGCAGATTCTTGACTAAAAAATGTATTAAATGGGTTCATGGTGTTCCTTTATTGTCACTTGTTTTTGTTTGCTGTGCTTTCTTGGTGAAAAGGTTGAAATCACAATAAGAAAGCCAAGAATGACAGTCCAGTCATCCTTACTTATAAGGAGGTGTGCCTATGCTTTTGAAGGTACAAGGCAGGTTTAGTATAATTTTGCTTGTTATTCAAAACCATTCATGTACAATCCTTTTTCATAGTTTGTCCAGTGCAAGTTTTTAATTTTAGTTACAAAAATTATACATGAGTTTTTTCTTCTTATAAAATGCAAATATTACAGATGAAACTGGGAGCTTTTTGACAGACCCTAATCCTTGTTTCTTTTCTTCTAAAAAGTGACCACTTCCAGACCTTTATTTTTATTTATTTATTTATTTGAAGTTATTAGTCAAGGAGAAAGTAACTTTTAGGAAGTACTTTTGTAGTTTATTATATGAACCTTGTAACAGCCCAGTGATGATCACTAGACCTACTTAGAGAGACTAGGACTAACTTTCAGAAGTCTGGGCATTTTTCTACCTTTCATACTTTCTCTTTCTGTCACTTTACTTCTTCCTTTCCATCTTTTATCACTTATCTCTCTTAGCTTTTTTTTTTTTTTTCTTTTGCCTGGACTGAGATCGTAAGTCCCTCTCAGTGAAGGGTAAGATTATGAGATCTGAGGGCTGTTTAAACCCAGTAACTTACCTGTTAGGTATATTGAAATGCAATGAGAAAATTTAGGCGAATGATAGTTTCTGAACAGATAAACAGCGTATCTACCTCATGAGGTCATTTTCAGATATGATGGCTAATAAAAATATTTTGAAAATGCTCTGTGTTGACATTCTATAATTTTCATTGCTATTAAAAATCTATTTTGTGGGGCGCCTGGGTGGCTCAGTTGATTAAGTGTCTGCCTTCAGCTCAGGTCGTGAGCCCGGGATCCTGGGATCAAGCCTCACGTTAGGCTCCCTGCTCATGGGGGAGCCTGCTTCTCCCTCTCCCTCTGCCATTCCCCCCTCCCCCGCTTGAGCTCTCTGGCTCTTTCTGTCAAATAAATAAAAATCTTCAAACAAACAAGCAAAAAAATAAAATAAAAAATCTACTTTGTGACGTAAAGTAATTATTTCATATAATCTTAATGAAACTCAACACAACTTTGTCACCTGGTTTTTATAGTTAAGTTTTAATGGCAGTAACCTCATTTTTTTGTTTTCTATAAAAAATAGGGTAGCCGGAGATGTTGGAATTAATGTTAAATTGTTGGGCTTTATAATTATTTTGAAGTTTTAAATCCAAATTCAGAGAACCAGGAATTGGCAGTGTGTTTATTGATATAAATTTGTAACCATGAAAACAGGCTGTAAAAATGGAATTTTTAAACTACAAATAAGGGGCCAAATATAAATCTCATACTTGTATAATCTGTTATAGAACCAAGATCCTTAGTTGGTTGGGCTTACTTTGTTTTCACTGTTGATTAAACTGTAGCCTCTCCTTTACCCCTACCCTAGCTTCATCTGCTTATACATTGTTAGAGAGTTGGGTGCTTATACCCATCATCCAAGATAAAATCTACCCTTGTTCGTACTTACTGGGGTTTTTTGTTTGTTTTTACTAGATTCTATACCTAATTCATGAAGCCATGCCAGGCTATTAGTTGCATTATATTTTCCTAGTTTTTTTTCACATAGCATCTTTGAACAATTAATTTAAAAAGAAGCTGGGATTTTAATATATTGCACTGTTTCTCTGGTTTTCATTGTCACTCCCCTAGAGAGCCTTTTTAGACATCCCCTGCCAATTTTTCCCTATGAAAATTTAGTACTGGAGATATTGTATATGTATTTATGTAATGTATGTATATCTGTGCTCTCTGCATAAAAGGAGTAAGATTGGGATTTTTTTTGTTCCTTCTCGGCCCCACCCCACCCCACCCCTGCCTTGAACCTTTTTTACTCCCACTGGGGGTGATGTTGCCCCATTGAGAATGTATGGCATAAATTCATTAATAAGCTTAAAGCCTGGCTGATTCAGGCGTGTCAAGACTGCAACTGGTGTTAAATTAGCTAAAATCCTAGTTGTATTTTGAGTATTGAAATAGAAGTAGCTTTATCTTGAAGAACTTTGGATTTTACCCCAAATCTCTCCAAACAACTTTTTTATTTTTTAAAGATTTTATTTATTTATTTGACAGGGACACAGCGAGAGAGGGAACACAAGCAGGGGGAGTGGGAGAGGGAGAAGCAGGCTTCCTGCAGAGCAGGGAGCCCGATGCGGGGGCTCGATCCCAGGACCCTGGGACCATGACCTGAGCTGAAGGCAGACGCTTAACAGCTGAGCCACCCAGGCGCCCCCAAACAACTTTTTTAAATGTAAAAATCTGAGACATAAAAGAGTTTACATTTTTATAATGTGACACTTTTATGTGTAACTTAATTTGTGGAAAATCAGAATACAGTAGAAGGCAATTTTTAACTTGTCCCATTAAATAGAGTTTTTACCATTAAGGGGAAAGATTTTGTCTGTCTTGATTTATCCTCTCATGTATGTGATCTTATATTTCTTATAGTGTGAAGCCTCATTTTAGGTCATCGAGTGGTTCAGAACACTCGACAGAGGGCTCTGTGTCATTGGGGGATGGACCATTAAACAGATCTGGTTCAAGGAACTTTCCAGCTGAACGGCATAATCCTACAGTAACAGGGCATCAGGAGCAAAGCTACCTTCCAAAAGAAACTCCTACTATACAGATGGAACAGAATGGGGACTATGGTAGGGGCAGGTAAGGAAATAGGGTAATAAATATGGATAAGGTATATGAAAATTCTTTGCTCGTAATGTGAATATTTGAAGACCTAGTGATTATTTTTTGTTTTAACTATTGGTGTATGGTTTTACTAATTGAATACAGTGTTCACATAATATGGGTTAATAGTTTTCATAATTATTTAGAAATTTATAGTGCCCATATAGAATATAGCTCTGAGTCAGAGGTTCATAAAGTTACTCTGAAGTTCTTTATGGTTCACTGAGGAAAGAATAGCTTAGAAAGATAAGATCCTATCTGCATTCTAGTTTAATTTCTTACAACTTCTTAACTATGGAAATGGGGTTATACCTTATTGCCTCCTCTGCTCAAATGAAACAAAAAACCCTGATATACTTCTGGTGTGGAAGGAACACTGCTTAATAAAAATGGCCCAACTTATTTAGTGGTGGTGGTGGTGTTGTAGTTGAAGTTTTTGGTAGATTAGTTTAGGATCCCTTCAGAAGAATATATATTCATCTCTTAATAGTGGAGATACAGAAAATATAGTTAGTTAAACTAGAAATTCACCCATCTTTGATAGAGTGTATTATATATTTGAAGAAACTTACGAGTTGTCCCTCCCATCATTCCCACCTTTTTTATCGTTGTTAAAAGGAGAACTCTTTTCAGAGGTCGAAGACGACGAGAAGATGAGAGAGTCCAGGTAAGTTTTTTTACATAGTTTTATTATATCTATTTATTTATTTTTTTCTTTTGTGATTTAGTATGGCATTGGCTTGTGGTCGGTCTTTCCAGGTTTTTGTCTTATTGATTATAGTATTAGACAAAGGTAAATAGAACCTGTGCTTTGACCCTAAAATATCTACTGCTACCACTATGCCCCACCCTTAAAGCACATGTATAGTTAGGGATTTGATCTGTGTTGCTTGTGTTTTTTAAAAATTACTTGAATACCTAATATATTCACATAGTTTAAAAATCAAAAAATGAAAATATTCAATGAAAAGTTTATTATGTTGTTAATGGACATTTAAGTAGTTTCAATCTTTCAGTCTTGTAGCTATGGTAACTTCTTTCCTATGTGTGTAATAACACCTGAAGGAGAATCCTTAGAAATGGGATTTCTAGGTCACAATTCAGTAAGTTGCTGCCAGCTTACATCTTTCTGTAGGGGTTGTGCCAATTTACACTCTGACAGACATTGAACAAAAGTTCCTATTTATCAATAGCCCAATAAATATATGACTTTTTGCCAACTTGATAAAGTTTATCATTCACTTACAAAGCTCTCTGGATGGTGTTGGAAACTCATTACTTGAGGGGGCGGGCAATTTTCTAGCTACTACTTATTCTTCTATCCACTAATCTTACAAAACTGCTTATAAATTAAAGTTTTATAGTTCTAGACATGTTTTTATTTGAATTTTGACTTATTTAGCTTCAAATTAATCATGTTTTTATTTTTTTTGTGGTTTGTTCATGGTGAATGTTTGCCCTGTCTTAACTGAGAGCAAAAGGAGTTGAGAAATCAGAATGATGTAGGAACCCACAGAGGTCTCAAGAAAACCCTGCCTAGAATTAACAGATAAATCATAAATTATAGTATACTTACTTTATGTGTATAAGTAGTGAATTGTATACACATACAAGTGTACTATACATACAGCATGTAGGCTGCATATTATATATATACAAATATTACATATATAAGTAGTGAAAAGATAAGCATTTCCAAAGAAGAAAACTTACTGCGTTATAACACACAGAATGGTCCTTAGGGCAAACTGTGAACCTTTTAAAATAGTGTTGTGCAGCCATGACATAGCAACAGCTTTTTTAGAACGATACCATTGCAACAGTCCATATGAATCCTCAAGTGGCCCTGAACAACTGAGGAGAGAAGAGATTAGTTTTGAAGTCCATTTAATATGTTGAAAATATTTTGAGGATTGAGGACTGAAGGGGTGAAGAAAAAGGAGACACACATGCTTTCCAGTAGGAAAGGCAGAATGGAAGTGCCTTTGTGCAGGAAGAAGATGTTAGCTAGAGATAAAATTTAGGATTTGTGAGCTTACACAAAGTAATTGAAATCATAAAAGTAGATGAAATCATTCAGGGGACTCTGTAGAGTAAGTGATTTAGAGTGGTCAAGAATGGAACTTTGGCAACATAGTAGCTTTGGGCTAAAGAATGAGATTACTTATTATATTGTTTGAAGTATCCAAGCAAAATCTGAGCAGAGAAGGCTGATAGACAAATGGATGTCTAGGTTTCAGGTAAAGGTCTGGGCTGAGAATATTGAAAGTGTACAATTCAGTGAGTTTTGGTAAATTTCCAGTGGTGTGTAGCCAGTCACCAAAAGTGAAAAAGATTGTTGTAAAGATTGTTTGCGTATAGGTAGTAGTTGAAGCCATGAATAGTGACTATCACACAGGGAGAGTATGGAAGTGAAAAGAGTAGAAACTATAGAAACACATAGAAACTATAAAACTGTCAAAGGGAATAGGTAGAGAGACGCAAGCACCTGATTGTGAGATCTGAAAATCAAGAGAAAGAGGTATCACAGAAGCTAAGGGAGGAATGAGCTCTCAAAAGGAAAGAATGTTTACCATGCCAGGTGCTATGTGAGGTTAGGAAAAAAAGTCTGTCAGATTTTGCATTGTGGAAGGCATTGGTGACTTGTCAAAGCAATTTTAGTGGTGATGAATACAGAGGTGAGGCTTGTAGAGGGTGGTGGGCAGAAAGGCAGATCAGGAGATTTTTCAAGGAAAGATACTGTTCTCTTGAGACTATATGAAAGGAGAAAAGCTCATGGCAAATTTAGGTCACATAGGGGTTTTTATTTTTGTTCTGGAAGGGAGTATTACAAATTTAGCAAATAGTGGAGATTTGGTTAGCAGGCTTAAGGAGTGTGGCAAAGTTTGCAAAAGAAACAGGTGAGGAAGTTGACAAAAGGTAAGTAGGATTGATAAAAAAATGAGAGCTCAACTGAGATGAGAAGCCAGGAATTTATAGGAGAACAAACAATTCTTGCATTAGTGTAGAGTTTTGTTTGTTTCCTTACAGCTTTCAGCTTCTGTGGTACAGGATTAGGGAATGAGATTGGCATGTGACCTGTTTTATGATTTGTGTCTTTTAGAGACCGCAGTCTTCATCAGCTGAAGCAAAGGCTCCAACACCAAAGTTTGACTTACTAGCCTCAAATTTTCCTCCTTTACCTGGAAGTTCATCAAGAACTCCAGGTGAACTTGTTTTGGAGAGTAGGATGTCTGATGTTGTTAAAGGTGTCTACAAAGAAAAGGTAAACACTGAGGCATCAATCTTTTACTTATGGGACCATAACCTTTGTTTGCAGAGTTATAATTCAAAATTTTATTTGCACTTAATATGTATTTCTATCATAGTTTTTACTCATGGGATTGTCAACTTGCTTTGAGTATTATAAAAAGATTTATGATAAAGCTACACAGGCCAATAAAGTGCTGGGTGTTGTGTAAGACTAATGAATCACAGACCTGTACCCTTGAAACAAATAATACATTATATGTTAATTAAAAAGAAATAAATAAAATAAAAATTAAACCAATTAAAAAAATAAAATGTTTCTTCATTTTTGCATGTCTTTGGTGTCAGCCAACTCAGTTTGGTAGAACCAATTAATGCAAGCTGGTGGAAAGTGTTGTTTCCACTTAAGTGCCTGTAATTAGTCAATGATATAAATGAATTCTAAGTTTGGTAAATTCAGGCTTTCAAATAATGGAGAGTTGATATCAAAGAGTTAGGACATCAACCTTTAGGATAGGTACCCCATCCTAAAATTTTTTTTTTTTTAAGATTTTATTTATTTATTTGACAGAGAGAGACACAGCGAGAGAGGGAACACAAGCAGAGGGAGTGGGAGAGGGAGAAGCAGGCTTCCCGTGGAGCAGGGAGCCCGATGCGGGGCTCGATCCCAGGACCCTGGGATCATGACCTGAGCCGAAGGCAAACACTTAGCAACTGAGCCACCCAGGTGCCCCTCCTAAAATATTTTTGAGTGTAGACCTCTTCCTGTGCTAAATCTTTACACCCACATATTTTTCTCATTTTCTTCCCTTTTTTTCTTAATTCAGTTTTTATTTTTATAGTATATACACGTAGTATACATCTAGGCTTATAGTGAAAAATAGTATTCCTGTGCAACCATTTCAACTAGTTTTTTCTCCTGTTTTCCCCCTATATTTCTAACTAACATGGTTATGCTACTACTTTTCTTTTCTCTTCTCTTTTCTTTTCTTTCATCTCCACCCAATGTGGGGTTGAACTCAGGACCCCAAGATCAAGAGTTGCATGCTCCCAATATACTTTATTTCTTGACTTTCCAATTTTTGATGTTGTCTGTTAACTTTCCATTTAGAACCTAAGGATTTAGCTCTCTTAAGTCAACATACTTTTCTTATCCTCCCTGTATATTGTACTGCATCATATCTAGGATACCATCAATTATAAGATGCCCTATTAATTTAGTATCACTAAAAAGGTAAAAAGCAGGGGCAGCTGGATGGCTCAGTTTGGTTAAGCCTTCAGCTCAGGTCATGATCTCAGAATCCTGAGATCAGCCACACCCCCCTCCCCCATGTCAGGCTCCCTGCTTAACAGGGAGTCTACTTGTCCCTCTGTCCCTCCCCCTTGCTTGTACTCTCTCTCTCAAATAAATAAAGTCTTAAAAAAAAGAAAGTAAAAAGCACTGCCAGTTAGATTAGGATATGCCATCATTTGTAAGTCACATCTTGATATTACCATTTTTTTCCATAACTGAACCTCATAGTATACTGCCATTATTTCTCCTTTCTTATACTTTCAGTGGCCTACTGCACAATTGTGTAGCTGGGACTTGACTTTACCATCATCCTGAGAATTTTCCTTACTTTCTTTTGTTGGATCCTCACTCTTACTTTACTTTTCTTCATTATGGTGGGTCACATCTTCCTGAGCTTCCTGAATTAGTGGTTTTTAGTATAAATTTCTTGAGATCTTGTGTTCCAAAAAGTGTTTTTGTTTTTACATAGGATCAGTAGCTTATTTCTGTAGAGTTCTGATTTAGAAATCATGTTCCCATGGAATTTTGAAGGTATTTGTCTTCCCTTGTTTAAAAAATTGTGCAATATTATAGTTATTTCATCAGCCTTAAGATAGACATTTTTTCCACCTTTGAAAATCTATAATTAAACGTTACCGTAGGTTAAGTAGTAGTGTTTTTCTTAGTAATACATAATATAATGGTACATTTTATAGTTGATGGCTTCTCCCATTTGGTGAGGTGTGATTCACACATAACATACGTTTTTAAAGAAGAATAATAAAGTGTATTTCCCCTTGTAATCCCAACCCACAGTTGTGGACAATGAACATCACCAACATCTTAGCAGTGCCATGTGTCTCCCCTCCCTTTTTAAGATTCCTATTCCTCCCCGTCAGAGGAAACATCCTGACTGCAATAACAATTTTGTTGCTTTTTTTATGATTTTACCATTCCAGGTTGGGAAACTTTTTCTGTAGAATAGGGCCAGAAAGTAAATATTTTAGGCTTGTGGGCCACATGCTAAAAACATAAAAACCACTTTTAGCTCATAGGCCATACCAGCCAAACTCAGAGGCTGGATTTGGCCAGCAGGCCTTGGTTTGTCAACCCCTAACCTAGAGAGTATACTGTTCAGTGTGCCTGTTTTTGAACACAACATAAATGGAATGTGTAATCTTCTGTTAACAATTTCTTTCATTCTGTATTGTGTAAAATTCATTGGTGTTGAAACAACTAGTTCATTTTGCACTGTTGTATTCTTTTGTAAGAATATTATTCAACTGTTGATAGACACTTGAGCTGTTTTTTTGTCTGTTTGACATTATAAGCAATTCTGCTGTGAATGTTCAAACTACACACCCTGTTTTTAGGGTATATACATAGTGGAATTGCTGAGTGATAGGGCATCTTTTAAAATTTACTGTTGAGGTTAAGTTACTTTTTCATGTTTTTATTGGCCATTTGAGTTTCTCTTTATAAAGTGCCAAGTATTTGGCACTTTTTTTTTCCTATTGGGTTATCTCTTTATCTTACAGATTCATGGAATTTTTAAATTTATTTTGGATACTAATCCTTTGTCAGTAATGGATATTACTAATTATGGTTTGTTTTCAGAGTTTAGTATTTGTGAATGAAAACAGGTTCTTATTTTAGTATGGTCATATTTATCAGTCATTCTTTTATGGTTTGTTCTTTTTTATATCTTGCTTAGGAAATGATCTGGCTTCCCGAGATCCTTTTCAGAAACCTATCGTTCTGATCCTCCTGTGACCTTTTCCTCCCCTCTGGAGGCCTTTAGGATCTTTTATTTATCTCTGGTATTCTGTGAAGTTACGAAGGTGTATCTTCCTATGGCTCCTTTTTAATTCATTGCACCGGATACTTGGTAGACCTTTTCAGTCTGTAAACTCGTCCTTACATGCTAGAAAATTTTCCTGTATTATCTCTTTGATAAATTCTTCACTTCTCTTTTCTTCTCTTTCTTTAACTCTTAATTTGATATTGCACCTTGTAGGTGGAACGTCAGATTTTGTTTCGGCTTTCCTAATTTTTATTTTTGTACTTGTCTATATTTTCTACAAAGTTTTTCTAAATGTTACCTCTGAACCGACTGAAATTTGGGGGTGCCTGGTGGCTTGTTGGTTAAGCATCTGCCTTTGGCCCAGGTCATGATCCCGGGGTCTTGGGATCAAGCCCCACCAGGCTCCCTGCTCAGTGGGGCATCTGCTGCTCCCTCTCCTACTGCCCTTCCGCGCAGCCCCCCAACTCATGCTCGCTTTCTCACAAATAAATAAATAAAATCTTTAAAAAAATAAACCTACTGAAATTTGTACTTTATCAATCGATTTTAATATCCAGGGCTCGCTATTAGATTTTTTTGTGGGGTTTTTTTGTTTGTTTGTTTGTTTTTAAGATTTATTTATTTTAGAGAGCACGAGCAGGGGGAGGGGCAGAGGGAGAAACAGGCTTCCACTGAGCAAGGATCCCAATGCGGGACTCAATCCCAGGACCCTGGGATCATGACCCAAGCCGAAGGCAGATGTTTAACCGACTGAGCCACCCAGGCGTCCCTTGCTATTGTTTTTATTTTACTTTTTAAAATTGTGGTAAGGGGCGCCTGGGTGGCTCAGGCAGTTAAGCATCTGTTTTCAACTCAGGTTATGATCCTGGGGTCCTGGGATCAAGCCCCACATTGGACTCCCTGCTCAGTGGTGAGCCTGCTTCTCCCTCTCCCCTCTGCTGCTCTCCCGCCTTTATGCTCTCTCACTCTATCTCAAATAAATAAATAAAAATCTCTAAAAAAAAAAAAAATTGCAGTAAATTGCACATAATATAAATTTTACCATCTTAAGGGGTGCCTGAGTGGTTTAGTCAATTAAGCATCCGACTCTTGATTTCAGCTTTGGTCCTGATCTCAGGATGGTGAAATCAAACCCCACATAGGCTCCACGCTCAGCGTGGTGTCTGCTTGAGATTCTCTCCCTCTCCCCCTCTAAAAAATTTACCATCGGGGCACCTGGGTGGCTCAGTTAAGCAGCTGCCTTCGGCTCAGGTCATGATCCCAGGGTCCTGGGATCGAGCCCCGCATCGGGCTCCCTGCTTAGCGGAGAGCCTGCTTCTCCCTCTCCCTCTGCCTGCCACTCTGCCTACTTGTGCTATCTCTCTGTCAAATAAATAAATAAATAATACCTTTAAAAAAAAAATCCTTAGAAAATTTACCATCTTAAGCATTGTTCAGTGTATGCAGTTCAGTTGTGTTAAGTACATTCACATTGTTGTGCATCTAATCTCCAGAACTCTCAATCTTGTAAATATAAAATGCTGTAGGGGACACCTGGCTGGCTCAGTTGGTAGAGCATGCAACTCTTGGTCTCTGGGTTGTGAGTTCAAGCCCCACGTTGGGTGTAGAGATTCCTTAAAACACAAAATCTTTTAAAAGTAATAATAGGGCGCCTGGGTGGCTCAGATGGTTGAGCGTCTGCCTTCGGCTCAGGTCATGATCTCAGGGTCCTGGGATCGGGTCCCGCATCGGGCTCCCTGCTCCTTGGGAGCCTGCTTCTCCCTCTGCCTCTCTCTCTCTCTGTCTCTCATGAATAAATAAATAAAATTAAAAAAAAAATAAAAGTAATAATAAAATGCTATACCCATTACGCAGTGACTCCCATTACCTATTCCCCCTTCCCTCAGCCCCTGGCAGCCACCATTCTACTTTATCTATATAAATGTGAGTACTCTGGGTATCTCGTGTAAATGGAATCATATAATATTTGCCTTTTTGTGACTGGCTTATTTCACTTAGCATGATTTTCTCAAGGTTCATCCATTGTGGTAGTGTGTACCAGTACTTCATTCCTTTTATTGCCCAGTAATATTACATTATATGGATATACCACATTTTGTTTATACATTCACCAGTTGATGAATATTTAAGTTGTTCACAGTTTTTTGGCTACTATGAATAATGAAAATTTGTGTGTAGACATATTTTCTCTTGGGTATATACTGCTGGGTCATATGGTAACTGTGTTTAACTTTTTGAGGAACTGCCAGACTATTTTCCAAAATGCACCATTTTGCATTACCACTCAGTGTATGAGAGTTCCAGTGTCTTCCATTATCATCACAAACATTTGTTACTTACTGATTATAGCCACCCTGGTGAGTGCAAAGTGATTTCTCATTGTGGTTTTGATTTGCATTTCCCTAATTGACGGATGATGATTGAACCTCTTTACAAGTGCTTATTGGCAATTTGGATATCTTCTTTGGAGAAGTGTCTATATGAGTTAATTTTGAAATATATTTTTACTTTAAGGATAATGAAGAGTTAAGAGTTAGTTGCCCAGTGCCTGCAGAGGATGAACAGACAGACTGCACCTCTGCCCAGCAACTCAATATGAGTACCAGTCCTCCATGTACAGCTGAGCTTCCTGCATTAAGGTACAGTTTCAGTATAGAAGGTCTTCCACATTAAGATTACTTTCTCTTCTGGTCATTTGCTCAGCTGTTTCTATGTGCTGTACTAAGTCTAATGTCAAACTCTCTTTTCCTTAGCACAACTCAGCAAGAAAAGGATCTAGTAGAGGATTCCTCTGTTCAGAAGGATGTTCTCAACCAGACAGCTATACCAGTTTCTTCCCCAAGTACTGCAAAGCCATCAAGGGCAAATAGTGCTTCACCATGTAATAATAACATAAATGCAGCTGTAGCTGTGGCCCTACAGGTAACTTGATGAATTTAGTATGTGGGGACAAAAAAAATAATAGGTTAAATAATGAGATTTTTTTTTCACGTAAGTCTTTGCTAGAGCAGAGTCATTTGGAAATAGCCCAAACTGAGGTTACCTGCCTCAAATGAAGCTCAAGGAGTTTAAAGTCACTGCAAAGAAATGGGAAATTTTAGCCATGTTGAGATAGTGAAGAATAATTATTCATTCTGAGAAGTTTTGGTTTTTGTTGGGGTTTTTTGTTTTTGTTTTTGTTTTTTAAGATTTATTTGAGCAAGAGAGCATGAATAGGGGAGAGGGAGAGCCCATATGGGGCTTGATCCCAGGACTCTGGGATCAAGACCTGAGCCAGAGGCAGATGCTCAACCAGCTGAGCCACCCAGGTTGCCCCCATTCTGGGTTTTGGATTTTTTGTTTGTTTGTTTGTTGTTTTTTAATGACTTTTTTTCTGGTCACCTTCTAGTTAAATGATGCTTCTTTCTTATTCAAGTTACGATGAATGTATTTTGGGGCTAAAGAGGCTTTGAGCCCCCTTGAAATTCTTTTTTTTGGGGGGGGGGAATGTTTAACAAGTCTTAGGAGGGCCACTTCCATTTTTATTCAGTTTCCAGAAATCATTTTTATAATTAGGGAAATACAGAAAAGCAGAGCAAAAACACAGAATTTAATAATCTTTTCATTCATTAATATAACTAGTTGCATTTTGGTATAGTTCCTTCTAGGTTAAGGACATTTTATTTTGTTATTTAATAATAGTACAATGGCAGCTACCGATTACTGAATGCCTGCTATATGCTAAGACCAGTGCTAAATACTTCTCACATGCTTTATCCCATTCTCATAACATCCCTGTTTCCTTTTTTTCCAGATGAGGTAATTAAGACCTTTAATTAGTCTTCTATTAATATATTCTTGGTTCCCAGCTGCTCTGTTGAGATTCTTGTGGAATCCATCTCAGGGTTCTTTGTAGCCTTGGAAGAGAGAACAGATGTACATTCATCATACGGATGTACATTATTAACTTAACCTGAAAGTACATTATTAACTTAATCTGTCCTTCCTTGTTAGACATTTAGGTTATTTCCAGTTTTTTTCATCACCTGTTACAAACAATGCTGACATGAACATCTTTCACATAAATTCCTCAAGTGAAAATATTGTATCATTTATAAATTGCCAAGGCTTTTTATTATTTCAACAAAATTTTTTTTTTTAAGATTGTACCCAGACAGGGGCGCCTGGGTGGCTCAGTTGGTTGAGCGACTGCCTTCGGCTCAGGTCATGATCCTGGAGTCCCGGGATCGAGTCCCGCATCGGGCTCCCTGCT